TCTGGCTACAGAATCGCGCTGACCCTTTTGCTGCAATCCTTTAAATACAAAACTAAGAAAAAACATCCTCCAAATGGAGGCCTGTACAAACAATTGGAATTTGCATTAAGCCAGGTCCCAGACCTGGGTGGTCTACACCTCAATGGGAACAAAAGGTAATTTGCATGGGATTGCTCTCTACGGTGATCAAAGTTTCTCTTAACTCTTAGGATCTGTATTATCTTTTAGTAAGATTAAGACCATTGTACCACTTGCCCTGAAACTATTCAAATGAAACCAAACATGACTGTAAATCTTATTTGCATTCATTTAGAACATATTCTTGACCAGCTTGAGTGAATCCAGTGGAGGGAGGAGATGAAAAGGCACAGATGCATATGTGAGAGAGGTGTTTCCTGCACCACCCCTCTGTGGGGTGTCTTGAAGATGCCAGTGTATTGTTTGTTTCTCAGGAGATCAAAGTATTATAGTTTCTTTTATCCTTACAAGCCGTTTTAGGGGGGCGTGGCAGAGTCTTAACTTTGATAAAGAATATCTCTTTGGTTTTGAGACTTTAGTCTTTGCAACTTCAGGGATCTTATCTCTGCACAATCAGCTTGTAACACCCCGAAGAGAAAGGAAAACTTGAAATCGCATCATATGACCCCTTTAAGACTGGATGAAATTCCGTCCTGAAAGTTGATTGGTCAATAAGGTTGTGTTGAGACATATTACTCCACACCTCGGTCATCATCTCACTCTAAGCAGCAGTAAGAATCATTTGGGATCTTCCGAAACAAAATTACAATTATGCTTCTTAGCGAATGTGCTCATAAAATAACGTCTTTAAGACGTGAAATATTTTTTACTTAGTATTTAATTGTGTTGCTGATTTATATTGGCATTCCATTTAACAATAATCTATGAAATGGCGGCCCTCTACTGGCCAGATATCAAACAAACACAACAAACTCTACGGAGCGGGTTAAGTTAGTTTTGTTTTCGATATTCGTGACACATTCAGCGA